TCTGGCGTGCCCACATCTTAGTGTTGTCTGTGAATTTGAACAGGGTGTTTTTCACCCCCTCGTCCAAGTCGCTGATGAAGATGTTGAACAGTGCAGGCCCGAGGACCGAGCCCTGGGGGACCCCGCTGCCCACATCCCTCCAGGTCGAACATGACCCGTCCACCACCGCTCTCTGGGTGCGGCCCTCCAGCCAGTTGGCAACACTTCTGACTGTGTGGGTGTCGACACCACAGCCCCCAGTTTCTTAATGAGAACGGGTGAGAGACAATGTCGAAGGCCTTCCGGAAGTCCAGGAAGACGATGGCCACTGCTACCCCTGGCTAGGATCTGGAACCAACTTCCAAGAGAAGTGGTGCTGGCTCCTACCCTGGGAGTCTTTAAGACAAGGCTGGACAATCACCTTGTCGGGGTCGTTTGACCCCAGTGCTCTTTCCTGCCATGGCAGGGGGGTCAGACTCAATCTGCTCAGGTCCCTTCCAACCCTACTAAGTATGAAACTATGAAACCAGGACATTTCCTGAAGAGCTGATGGTGTCCTGTTCAACACAGACCCGGCAAATACGGCTCTGTCCTGTGGGAAACACTTTTGGCAACGCACGGGAAGGATGATGTGAACCAGGGGCAAAAGGAGCGCTCGGATATTGAAGAGAATAGAAAGCCCGGGTGCATCTCTCTCCCGAGATGGCATGGGATTTGTTGGGATCTCTTCATTTTAAAGAGCTGATGAAGGAAGGGGCTGGCAGCTAAGTATAGAAGAGGAACGTAGCTATGCCGCTGGCTTCGGTTGCATTTGTCTGCGAGTCAATTGGGCTGATTAAGAGAAAGGAATTCTGTTTGTGTCCTGTAATACCAGATGAACAGCTCAATGCTGGACTTCATTAGCTGGGAGCCTGATGTTGTTTCCCTTGAACAAAAGGCTAGTCCCTGAAGTTAATCTCTCACACCTGTTCAGCTTTGTTCCAAAAAGCATCCTGCCCTGGCTTGGCTTGCTGCAGACTGACATGACACCGGAGGCAAAACCCCCCCCCAATCCAACAGAGGAGTTAACTGTGCTTTTCACTCATCGTGCTTAAGAGCCTGAGAGCTGGCATGGCACGTCGCCGGCTTGGCCTTCCAATCTCTGAACATGCTGGAGACTTGAGACACGGTCGTATGCTGCAGGCAAAGCTAATTGGAGCCTCCCTGGGACGTGATGCCCAAACCCACTGGAATCAATGGAAAAATTCCCAGTGACTTCAGTGGTTTTGAATCAACCTCTGGCGTGTACTTGCTTGGCTGGATCAGACTAGTGACCTATCCCATCCTGTGCTGTATCACTGTTTGCACCTGGGAGCACCAGGCTTGATCGTACCTGGCCTACCCGGTATTGCTCCCAGTGGTAATTGCTGTTACCATTAGCAATCTGTTTTGTTTTTTAAATCCAATTCTTGCACGCCCTCCCATTCTTGCTTGTATTCTCGTCTCCACCCTCCGTCCATACCCATGTCAAGGGCACCTCCTGGGACCAAGGACATGCTGACAAACCATCTGGAAGCTGTGCCCATGAACGTGGCCCGTAACCAGCAGGATGCAACACCAAATGAGCAGGCCTTTGAGACCTCAGACCCTGCCTCCCTACCAGCATGCTAAACGATTATTGCAAAGGGGTCACCTTTGCCTCGGTTGATGGGCACAATGTCCACAGCCCATTCAGTCCTCCCCTGATGGGTACACCAACAAATGAGGGGGTTTAAATGGTGAGTGTTCACTGTGTGCATGGGAAGGAAAGATGGTTGCATGCTAAGAACCGGCCTGAACACTTCCCTGTTAAATCGTGCCCTATAATACACCAACCGTCAGAAAACAATGATGTTCAACCTCTGCGGTCCAACTCATTGCCCAAATTGTTCCTATCACCGGTCCCCCTCCCCTGCTACCTTGTCAAAGTACAATGCCCTCTTTAACTATGACTTGCAGAGAGAAAGGGTCCGTAAAAGTGATACACGATGCAAGGGCTCCAAAATCTTGTGCAAGCAACTGATTATTCATGAAGCAACATCACAGAATAGGCATTATCTTTGTTTTGCATTACCCTAGCCACTAAAGATGCTGATGACCCTCTATCCATGCTCTCCCAAGGAATGACTATATTCATCCAAGGAATGACTATATTCATCCAAGGAGTAACTATATTCATCCAAGGAGTGACTGTTCATCCAAGGAATGACTATATTCATCCAAGGAATGATTATATTCATCCAAGGAGTAACTGTATTCATCCAAGGAGTGACTATATTCATCCAAGGAATGACTATATTCATCCAAGGAGTAACTATATTCGTCCAAGGAGTGACTATTCATCCAAGGAATGACTATATTCATCCAAGGAGTAACTATTCATCCAAGGAGTGACTATATTCATCCAAGGAGTGACTATACTCATCCAAGGAATGATTACATTCATCCAAGGAATGATTATATTAATCCAAGGAAAGACTATATTCATCCAAGGAATGATTATATTAATCCAAGGAATGATTATATTCATCCAAGGAGTGACTATATTCTTGCTCTGGCTGAACTGGCGCAGCCTTGAGCCGTGTAATCCCAGCCCAGAGATGAGCTTCCCCCTCACTCAGCAGAAGTAATCTGGTAGAAGAGTCTTGAAAAGGAAAAAAACCCAACCCCACTCGTCCCATCATGCCACTGGATGTTAATAATACCAGGAATACTCTGAATCTCCTGGTTCTCTATCATCATATATAATACTTGCAGAAATGGCTGGGATAATGATGTTTGCTCCTTCGCTTGCAGCCCTGTTATCTCTCGAGTGCCTTCGGGGTGGGGGAAGCGGCGCAGCCCAGGAGCAGGTTCTCTAAAAGGTTCTTTGTTTCTCCTGCCCAGGTATTAAGTTGATGGCACAACAATCCCCAAGTACATTGGATTCACTTTCCTGCCCTCCCCTGCCTGAATGAAGACCTTGTCGTGCCCCTCGCCCCCACCCCATCCACCACGGGTGAACCCTGCGCAGGCAACCTGAAGAATGGGCTGCAGGAATGTAGTCAGAACAGAGCCAAATTGTTCAAGCTGCGTGAAGAAGGGAAGGGCGAGAAGACAAGAAAAGGGGGGGAGACGGGGTGGGGAGAGAACGACGAGAACCGTCTCCAGATGGCTGACTTTCCGAGGAGATATTTGGTGGGTAGCACGGTTTATTTAAAAAAAAAATTTTTTTTTTAATGGTGCAAATCAAAAGCTCCCCCATCCCCGCCTGCCCCTGCGCGCGCGTCGTCCCCCCTCCCAACAGCAGGGTTTGTCGGCACAGTGGCCTACACAGAAAGGTGACATTTGAGAGAACAATTGCTGGGCTGTTTTACCATGCCTGCTGCTATGAATGAGGCTTAAGAAAAGGTGTCCTTGGCCTCCTGCTAATAGTCATCATCTTCATCGTGCCTGCGTGCGCTCTCTAGCTAACACAGCCTTATGAAATAGGGGCACACCGCTAATAAACAAAGCACTATAAAAGATCAGATTGTTGCATGCTCCAGCCTCATTTCCTTGCTGCCGCCAGCAACCTGCTCTCCGTTCATCACTCCTGCTTGCAGCAGCGAGGAGGCCTGGGGTCCGCTCTCCCCCCCGCCTTGTCTCTGTGGGTGCTTCTGCCTTGCACTTTTCCAGAGCAGAGGACAAATCATGGGCAAGTCCAGCAATAAAGGAAATAAAGCTGGCTCATTATTGGGGCCTCGGATCTTGAGAACCGGTCCTTGAGCTAAATGACACAAGCCACGTGGTCTCTGCGAGCTAAGCAAGCAGCTGCCCACGGGGACAGGTGTAACTGCTGCCCGTGGCCCTAGCTGCAATGCTCTCTCGAGCGAACGTGATGCAGGTGCTGGGTTTGTTAGCTGCGTTGAGATGACTTCCAATGAATCGGTTGCGGACAGGATGAGAAAACGGTCCATCCTGTTGTCTCGGAGAGATGAAGTTGCTGCTGCCTGTGTATGACTTTCAGGTACGACGCTATGATGGACTGAAGAGGATGAAAATGCACCATGAGAATTTGGAGTGGATCCATCTTAACATCATCATCATCATCATCATCATCATACCTAACTGTCTTGTGGTTTTGGTCTTCTAGATGGATCCTCTGATGCAAAGGGCTCTTCCTATCGCCCGCACCCGTTCCCCAACCCGCCTTGGGATCAGTGAAATGGGCATCGGTTGTGGACTAAGGAGCTGAAAGGTAAGGGTCGTCATTTGTAACAGGAGCTCTTAGCAGCGATTTACCCAGGATCCACCTCCGTTGGGCACATCCGTGGCCAGCACGCTTGGCTGCAAACTGCCCGTGAACTCGGCTCCTGTGAACCGAGTCAAAATAGGCCGTGCCTGAAAGAGGATGAGCAGATGCCGAAGCACGGCATGCTACTTTGGGCTGTTACCTGAGGTTTTTGTTTCTTCGGTGCTCCCTCTACTCTCTCCGTTTTCTCAGAAAGTTTTGACTCGTTTCCCAGCATCTTGAATAACCGTCACAAAAAAAGAAAAAGAAAAAGGAGCAAACTGCTATCTGGGTGAATAACACACCCCTGGGTGTGTGTGTACGCACAATATGCACAACAGTCTCCATGCACTGTGTATTTAACTATTTATCTCTGCTAGTACTTAGGCTGTTCATCTCGATGTCTATCTTTTTAGAGCTAGAGGTGTGCACATTGTGTGTGTGTATTTGTTTTGAGCTATGTGCGTTTTCAAGTTGCAACAAAGCTCCATAGCAGTCCATCCCGCGAGGAATTTTTGCTTTTCTTTCACTACATTAATTTTATTACTCCTAAGCTTTTCTTTGTCCCTTTTCTTCAGTCTTTGAAGTGCAGTCATTACTACTATAAATGATGTTGCTGGCATGTGCCAAATGAAGCAATTACCGTGCCCCCTAAGAAAGCAGAGTGTATTGGGTCCTCCTTCTCGTCTCCCTGACTCAGTTTCCCCACTTGCCAAACAAAGATACTGCCGATTCTGTGATGTTGCTTCGTGCATTATCATTTGCTTGCAGAAGATTTTGGAGCCCTTGCAAAGAGAAAGGGTATGTAAAAGGATACATGATACAAGTTGTACTTAAACAAGCCCTTGTAGAAACACAGTGGACACCCAACAGGGGAAAAAAAAAGAGCATCAGATACTATAAAATGACAGACCTGAACAAAGGACAGCCAGAAGTTTCCCTCAGTTTGCTGCTGAAAAACTTGTTTGGGGGGGAACTTTTCCAAGCAGCTAAATTAAAAAAAAGGCATATACATGTTGTCTTTCCCTGTCTTGTAGACCATATCTGATTGAATACTGCATGCACAGCCAAGCCAAGGAATCATTTGTCATCTTGCACTTAAAATACACCTTGACCATGAGCTCTTCAAGGTAGGAACATGTTCTCTGCGTGGCACCAGTGGTGAACTGTAACCCGCTGCCATTGCTCATGGCATTACATGCACGATGAACAACAGTAAAATGCCATGCAGATGCCAGCAGATAATGCTGATGCTAGCTGCGTCTAATGCATTATGCCTGCTTTTTAACTGATGGTGGGTGGATACAAGCTCAGCATCTACAGGCAGAAAAAGCCATATGAATACAGACTTAGCAGTCGTTTGTCTATCTGTCGCTGTCGGGTCTCTGACAACCTCACCATCCTGGGTGGATTTTATCCTCTCAGATAGAAGTTCACAGGGTATCTATCTATCTATCTATCTATCTATCTATCTATCTATCTATCTATCTATCTATCTATCCGCTTTTACAGACTGCAATCACACCAACCGGATCCAGACCCATGCCCCTCATCGCCATTCCTCTTCATCTTAAAAATGGCCATGATGGGCTTAAACAGCTGCTTTCTCGCTGTTCTTTTAATGCACAAAAACCATGGGTATTTCACTTTAAGAAACTGCGAGGCCGTTTGAGCGGTGTGTGTGCAATGCCGGCGTGTGTGTAGGGCTGGATTGGAGAACAGAGCCTGGCTCGTAGCCATTTTCTGTTGGCAAATAATTCCAATAATCTTTTCCTATAGTGTGTTTATTTTTATTTTTATCAGAGAACAGGAGAGTGATGTGTTTGGGCTGCACTGTAAGATGGTTCAGGGAGTTGCTACTGAGTGGGCTGGGTGGCTAGTGGGACATAATTGGCCGTAGCCCTAGGCTATCATAAAAGAAACTGAAACCAGAGTGTTAATGCCTCGGCCAAGTCACAGTGAAATGGTTTTACTGTTCAAGGAGAAATTGAAATGGCAATAAGTCTGGGGGTGGGTTGCATTGGTGTTTAGGGATCTTGGAGGTAAGTGCAAGGCAGCAAGGGTATTTAGCTGAGCAAAGGGGGTGTGTGTGTACAGGAGTAGAGACCACGGTGGGCTGAGTACTGCTTTACTGATTTGTTCGTCGTCTCAGGTTATGCAAAGAATAATACTAGATTTCCCACTGCCACTGATCCTATTAAATGGAGACAAAGGCAGTGTTATAGGAGTCTCTTATAAGCCTGATGGATACTGAACCAGAAACAAGGCTGCTAGAGATACCATCCAGGTCCTCTCTCCTCTGCAATCGTGCAGCATCAATTCCCCCCTTCCCTTTTTTTTTTTTACATATTCCAAAATTGTTGCTGTCCTTACTATGAACCAGATTATATATTAATCAGGGGAGAGACCAAGGCTCTGAATGCCAGTTTCTGAAATTATGATGGTTCCTTTGAAACTGCAGGTGCTCGCTGTGATCATGTACAGACATTGCACTTAGACCAGTCGAAGTGAATGAGATCAGTCTAAACCCATACATGTACAGACATTTGGTGCATGTAGACTGGTCTAAATCTGGTGCCAACAACCTAAGGTAGACCCGGTGAGGGGTACATTGCATTGAAAATGCTACCGATGCATTGAACTTATGTCCTGTTCCTGTGACTAGAAATGGAAAGGAAAGAGTTTTCTAGGCCTACAAAACAGTCAGAGATTTAACAATGCTTCCATGCTACAGCAAGACCAAACCAAGACCTTTCATGCACACACATGGAAAGAGAGTGAGGCCCATATCTAGACTGGTGCAAAAGTTCAGGGTTAGGGGAAGGCAGGATCATCCCTGACTAAACCATCCCAGCCCAGTGTCTGTCCATCCTGCTCCTGAAAATGTCCAGGGCTGGAGAGTCCAGTATCTGTGTTCAATGCTGGACCATGCTTATAGTCAGAAAGTTCCTCCTAATCTCCAGCCTCAGTTTCCTTTGCTGCAGTTTGAGGCCATTGCTCCTGGTTCTGTCCCTACAGCTAGGGAGAAAAGCCCGTCTCCATCCTCTCAAGTATTTATCCAACCCCCTTTCAGTCTTCTCTTCTGCAAACTAAATAACCCTAGTCTTTCAGCCTTTCCTCATAAGTCATGCTTCCCAGGCCCATGCTAATGGCTGGTCTTGTGACAAGAGCACGCTGTCGACTCATATTCATCTTACAATCCAGGACAGCCCCCAGGTTTTTTTCTGCAGTACTGCAACCCGGCCCGTCATTCCCCGGCTGTATTTATGCACGTTCAGGTCTAATGAAATAAATGGAACTGCGTCATAATATAATATAAATGGAAGCATTGAAGCCAATAGGGCTTTTCTTGTGGTTAAATTAATAGGATATTATTAACCTGCTTTAGGACACAGTCTTGCAAACACAGATACCTATATAGGGCTCACTGGAGCAACTGGACTTCATGGTGGCTGCCTGCAATGAAACACATTGTGGGAACAGGGTCTTTGATGAACTTTATACTTGCAAACAGGCCAGTGAGCACAGGTCCTTTGCTAAGGATGTTAATAGTCACTGTTAACAGAGTATCTGCCTGCTAAAGATTGTATGCAGTCACTATTTCTGGGTCCTCATTAGAGTCCTTCAAAGGGTTCAACACAATAACAGCCAAGGCATCTTGACCCCTTTCTCTTCAAGTAAGTACAAACTGGGTGCATGTGCATCACCCACCACTTTTCTCCATCCCCCTCTTTTTTTTGGTTAAGAGGCTCAAAAGTGACTAGTGATTTGGGGTCTCTATTGTGAGACCCTCTAAAAGACTCTGATTTCAGAGGTGGTCCCAGCACCTGAATGGTGGAGGCCTCTTTCCAGTGTCTCATGTTGGGCAGCATCAATCACTAGTCAGGTTTGAAAGCATCGGATCATTCATCTTAACACAGACAATTTGCAATAATTAGGCTCATATAGTCAGCCTTTTTTTTTTCCCCCCCATGGAAAATAAGATTCTTCGCTGGAAAAAAAATCAGAAACCTACATAGTTCATCTGATGTCTGAAATATTTCTAGCTGGAATATTGCTTTATTACCGCACAAAAGGTGTAACTGGCCTCAAACAGGTGCCTTATGCATTCATTTGCTTTTGTAGACTGAGTTTGCTCATATGAGTGCTTCTCTGGTGATGTACCACCATTTTCTCTCATGGGGATGGGGCCTTTGGACACGATGCATCACAGAAGATTTAATCCAGCTCGGATATAAGACCCATAGAGGTGAATGGGAACAGGAGACAACCATGGCAAGAGAGTTGAATCATAGTATTTCAGATTTCAGCCAACATGCTTTGGTTTTCACTGTAAAAAATCACAGTCTTCCTGGCTTGCAAACATTTCTTGGTGACTTAAAAAAAAAAAAAAATCAGAATTTTTGCGGCCCCTCCCCATGGAGTTACTCAAAAACACTGATTTTCCATCCAAAGCCAGCATTGACCAGCTCTACCAACAAGGTGATCGCCAAGGGTTTGGTTCACAGACATCAGGCTAAGTATCATTTAAAAAACGACCAGGAAAAAAGTAGCATGCTTCTGCTGTACATGGCTGGTATATTTTTCCTTTGGATGTTGGCCACCCCAAGCACACACAGAGCTCTCTGTAAGCCTACCTCACCCTCCAAAAAACACCAGAGGAGAAAAACTCTTTGCGACTTGGATGGGATCCGTCTGGGGGCGCGGTGGGCTGCAGGAGGGAGGGGGGTGGCGGGGAAGCCAAGTTTTCAGCTAAGTTCCTTTTTCTATTTTATTTAGATTAGGTTCTGCTCAGCAGGGTGATTTCTTAATTAGAGCAGGCCAGTCTTGCAGGCCTGTAGCCCCAGACCCCTGCTCTGCCTTCTAAAGTTTCACGAGGGAAGTTGTCGTGCCTTATTTCCTGAGCTCCAGTATTTGAGCAGTGTGCGGTGATTTCAATGGGAGGAAAAGACATGTAATTTAATCAT